TAGGAAGAAGAAAAAAATTTGCAAATGAAATGTTTCCCATCATAGTGGATTCTTAAACAGTTTCGGCAAGTGTGTGGCGTGCTGGTTACATGGTTGGCAAAGATAGCGCAGAGGTTAGTATCTTCAAACAGGCCTCATGGTCCGGATATTTAGCTCAGTGCACCGCCTGCCTCACAAGTGCAAGGTCACGAGTTCGATCCCCAGTACGAAAACAAAAAACAAAACAAAACAAAAGAAACACTTCTTGGACTTTTGGCTAAGATGCAGTGCAAACAGCCTCGTTTTTCTCTTGCAAAGCACCAATAGCTGCGCTCTGGAAGCACAGATCCGTTTGTGAAATCCTGAACAATTCTCACACAGGATGCTAGAAAGGGAGCCTGCGGATCAAAAGTTAAGTGAACTTCTGATAGCATCTTGATTTCACAGCCCCAGGCCTGGAACTAAGAGGTTTCTTCACCCATCCAGTAGAGGGCGGGCTCTTTCCAGAGGCTTTTGTAGCCAGGTGTTTCCAAGGTGCTTTGCAGGAGGCCTTAAGCCAAATCGCTTATGGAGCCCTTTCTCCTGCTGAGGCTGGAGGGAGCTGGCGCTAGAGAGCCACTGGGGGCTCAGCAGGTGCGAACGCCTGATTCAAAATAATTTTTACTTTCCTCTGAGAGTCCTCTTTAAACCACGAGTTATTTAAAAATATGCTATGTGATTTCCAAATATTTGGGGATTTTCCAGGTATTTTTCGGTTTTAGTTTAATTCTCTTGTGGCCTGGAAATATGCTTTGCATTTCTTTCCTTTTTTTTTTTTTTTAATGTATTCAGGTGAGTTTTAGGACCCTGAATATGGTTTACTTTGATGCATGTTCCATGTAACTCAGAGAAGAATGTGCATTCTCCTCTAGTCAGATGAAGCGATGCAGGGATGTCAGTTATGTCCAGTTGATTTATAGTGCTATGGAGTCCAGATATATCTGATATATCTTTAATGAGTTTTTGCTAGATGGGTTTCGTTTTTTGGGGGGAGTTTGTTGGTTTGTTTGTTTGTCTTTGCAGTATTGGTAATTGAAACCAGGACCTTCCTTGAGCTCCATCCCAGCCTCCCTCTACTTCCCCCCCCCCAACGACAAATGCTCACTAAGTTGCCAAGACTGGGCTTGAAATTCTGATCTTACTGCTTCACCCTCCCAGAGTACTGAGATCACAGGCATGGCAAATCTGTCCATTCCTGACAGAGGTGTGTTAAAGTGTCTGTGGTCTATTTCTCCTTGTAGTTTTATCAGTTTTGCCTCATGTATATTGGTGCTCTCTATAGTTTCGCAGTATACATAAGGATTATGTCTTCTTGGAGAATTCACTTTTTATCATCTGCATCCCTCTTTTATTCCTCATAATTTTTCTTGCTCTAAAATCTATCCTGTCTGAAGCTACTTTTTCTGGACTATGAATGACATTACTTCATTTCATAAATAAAATGTAGCCCCTTTTTAGTGCATCCATGAAAATTAAAGCTAAAATGAGCACTGCACATGTGAAATTTTAGGAACATTAGAAGTAGACACAGGATCTGTCTCAACAGTCTTCCCAGCATTTTAGAGGAAAACAAAAAAAACAAAAAAACAAAAAAAAAACAGCTTAAAAAAATCAAACAGCAGAAGGGGGCAGTAAAACTCAACAAGAATGCTCTGGAAAATTTTAATATTCTTTATTTTCTCTTCATACAGAGTTTCCCAACAAATTTCAGAGACTGATAAGAGAAATTCTATACAACAGACACATGTATACCTAAAATACAAATGTAAAATTGAAAGCTATGATTTTTATGTAATCTTTATTTGTTATATTTGATAATCACTGTGCTTTTCCAAGTCATATGTTTATTAATTTAGATTTCCTTGTTTCTTCATTTAGATCTTTTATCATTTTAAACTTGCCAAAATTATGTAATAAATTATATAATAATGTTTTTCTCTTTGAGTCCATATTTGGATTTCCTTTCAAAACTGATCTCATCCTTAAAGTCTCAACTGCTCTTTGAATCCTTTACTGATATCATAGGTACACAAAACTCATTTGGTTTTGCTGTGTAAGCAACAAGTTAAAGCAAGCTAGTTAACTAAGTAGATGTTTAAAAATGAATTTTCACTGTGATAGTCAAATTCTTTAAATTCCAAGTAATCTAAGTGTGATTCCCTATGACCCCATTTTTCTTGACTCTTGAATCCATAATCTTTTTACAAACAACAGAATATACTTCTTGTTTCCTTTTGTTGGTACTGAGGATTGAACTCAGGACCTTGCATTTGCGAGGCAAGCACAGCACCACTGAGCTAAATCCTTTGGCCCTGGAATATACTTCTATACACTGGACGCACAACTAAGGTCTGATAAGGATAATGATAATGACAACTTCAACATCAATTCAACTCTTCAAGAGGCTGAGGCAGGAAGGGTGAGAGTACAAGACTTTGTGTTAAAAAGCATCAGTTCAGGATTGCCATGTAAAGTTGTAGGACACTATCAGGGTATGGATTCTCATCTGGCATCTAACTCAAGCTAGAACTAGTGGCATGAATAAACTAAAATAAAATTAAAATTTGAGTAGAGGAAACCTACTTGAAGGGGAATGTCGGAATCATTGAAGAGAAAATGTTTAATTGAAATTCCAGATAGGAATCAATGCAGTGAAAGAGATTGCCACAAATGGAATGGTTAAATATGGCTAGAAGAAGACAAAGCTTCCCAGATGAGATGGAATTTTAATCATGGCTGTTCGTGTAGCATCCAAGAATGTGTACTTTAAGCAAAATGCTTAAACAAATTTTCCATGTGAGTTTTTTTTTTCCTCTGTTAGACTTCCACAGAATTATAAAGTGAGGTATTTGGTATAATTTCAATTTCAGATTTTATTTCATTTTTCCCAATTGTGCTAAGAATGCAGTTAACTGATTTATTTATTCATTTCTTGGCTCTTGAATCTAATTAATTTCTCATCAAACCGTGTTCCAGAATGTGATTTTTAATTTTTTTTAAAAAAAATTTGGTACCAGGGATCGAACTCGGGACCTTTGCGCTTGCAAGGCAGGCAGCAGAATCACTGAGCTAAATCCCCAGACCCAGAATGCGATTTTTAAAAATTAGGCTCAATAAGTCCAGCCAACGTAAAAGTAAATGCAGTGCTGTACTTCACTGACACAAGCCATCGTCTTGGAAAAGTAGACAGAAAAGACAAAAAAGAAGTAAACTTTAAAAATCTAGTGACTTGTATTGGTATCCCCAGTGACCAAAGCGTTCGGGGAAATCCGCGCCACAGAGGAGAAGACGATACATCCAAACACACGCGCCAGGCAGCAGCATCCCTGCGTGTGGGATCCTGAAGGCTCTGCGCCCGTCGGAGGGGCCCACAGCTCCCGGGAAGCGAGCGCGGTTCTCACTTTAAAAGTAACCAGGGTGCGAGTTCCAAACGCGGACACTGAAGGCAGCTACATTTGCTGTCAGCGTGTGCGCTCCCGCGCGTGGAGTAAGCGCTGCCCCCGGACCGAGCCCCGCCGTCAGCCGCGGCCC